CCTCTCAGCTGCCCGATCTCTTTTGCTTTGCCTTCAGGAGCCAGGAAGCCAGGCTGGCCTCCTTCACGGCCCCTTAGTCTTGGCGTTGCTCCTGTTCTCTCTCGTAGTCTCCATGCTCATCTCTGGTGCCTTTTGTCTTGGCCTGCACCACTTCAGACAGTGGAACGTGCCCTTCTCATGGTCCTGGGCTCTATCCCTCTGCTGCTGCCTCAAAGATGGCACATCCTTATAGCCCCGGGCGGAGGGGGGTGGTAGAGGGGGGTCATAAGGAAACTGACCAACCCTCTCTATTAGTGTTATACATGCCTTCTTTGCATAGTCCCATCTAATCATTTGGTGAGTTACAGACACTTAGGTAGAAGAGTCTTTAAGAAATTTCACTCCACCGCACTTAACTATTTTTTAGTTTGGTCATTTTAGTGCATTTAAAGCAGTATTTGCATTTCTTGATGGCTAATGTGAGCCCTCGTGGTGCTATGGGATCAGTCAGCACTGGACTGTTAACCGTAAGGCATGTGGTTCAAACTACCAGCCACTCCTTAAGATGAGGCTGTCTGCTCCTTAAAGACTCAGTCTCAGAAACCCTAAGGAGAAGTTCTAGTCGGTCCTTCAGGGTCGCCAGGCTGTGGGACTGCGTCGATGGCAGTAGGTGGATGGCTAATAATGTTCAACATCTAACCTTGTGCTCACTTTCCATTTGTATGTTCTCTTTCTGTTTGTGGAGAAGCCCCTTCATGACCTTTGTTCCTTTTCGGTTCTAGATGTAATTCGTTTATCAAATACATGTTTGTGAATATCATTTTCCAGTCCATGTCTTGTCTTTCCATCCTTTAAACCGGATCCTTGGCGGAGCGAAAGTTTTCATGTTAATCAGTTTATCATTTCCTTTTCAAAAATGGTGTTTGGCGTCATCTCCAAGAATTCTTTATTTAGGCCCAAGTCCCAAAGTTTAGCACATGCCTTCTTCCAGAAGTTTTATCATTTTCTAGATTATTGTTTAGGGTAACACTTGTCCCCAAATATTTATTTCACCCTTGTCAAGCCACGAGTCAAATGTTTTTTCCCCTCGTAATAGATAAAGCCAGGATTCATTTTCCATTTTCTAAAAAAATGAAATCAGTGAATTTCTATGTGTGTCATTGCAATTTGGCACAATTTAAGCCTTAAAAATGTATTGATATTCTTAGAGGTATATTATTGCTAATATCTGATCCTTTTTATTGTTGTTGTTAACACACACACATCTAGTCGGAATGAAGGCATCTGCCTCGTGCCTTGCACAGTGGAGTCTTATCAGTTTTAACTTCTTCCTAAGCTGTTTGTTTACAGGTGTGTTTCATTATAGCAGATGTTTTAATCCTCAGCTTATGTGCTACATACAAATAAATGTGTTCTGAATCTTCCAATCTCATTGATACATTTTTACAAACGTGTGTCCAAGGAATAAAGATGATTCTTGTTTATTTTGAAAAAAAAGTTTTATAATTTTAATGCTTTATCTTTAAATCTATGAGCCATTTTTAATTTGTGCTTTTAGAAAGTGTGAGGTTTAGGTTAAAGATCATTTGACCTTTGCTGGCTGGATTGGGGTTAGGGTCATAGTTTTTTCTGTGTTTTTGGGTAGAGCTGAGCATCTTTCTAAAGGTTTTCTGCCTTATTGTGTTCCTATTTTCCTAGTCTTTTGTCCATTAAGAACAGGCTCTTCTTGACCTGTTTTTCTTTTACTTTTTTCTCTTCCCTGTAATCCTTGACATTTCTTAATTACCAGCTTTTTAGTTATAAAACAAAGCCTACAAAGCAAAAATAGTTCTAGGGACTCACCTGTTTTTCTGTAGGCTCTATGGTCTGCTCTCTTCTTTCCCCTTTTAAAATGTTTCTTTTTTTCCTTTAAGACTCTTTTTTT